AAAAATAATTTGAGTGGTTGGTTTGAGCCCACGGTGTCGTGGGTGGGTTCGATTGTTGGCATCCGGAGCAACAAATGCGCGCGCGCTCAGGACGTGACCAGAAGGACCAGATAGCTCACCGCGGGTCCACTGGCAACGGGGCTGCTCCGGACAGGGACGTGTGTGGGGGGCGGCCGCCGCAGCGCTCGGCTCCATTTCACGAGTCGATGACAGTGGTTTGACTTGAGGCGGTGGTGAGTCTGCGGCCGCATCTCTCCATTTCGACGCCGGCCACAGCAGACATCAAACAGACCGCGCGGGTCAGGGCCCTCTGCTCTGCACTGCCTTGCACCCTCCAGATGCAGGCGCTCGTCTCGCTCGTGAGCCGGCTGACGCCGAGGCTGACTCCGGAGGACCGCACGGCGGGGCTGTTGGTCTGCAGCGTGGCCATCGGGGTCCTCCTCGCCGGCGTCCTGGGTACGCCTCGCCACGCCCCCGCCACCTGAAACACGTTACGTAAAGGGCGGTCAGAGAGTCCTTCGCGTCGCACGGAAGGGCTACAGCTATCCCCGTTGCGTAACTACTGAATGCTCTGAATGTGTACGCGAGGGCCGGCGCCGGCGGCGGGGACTGCGGACAGCTATTGTGTTTGGCCGACGTAAACTTTCCGCCACCGCCGTGACGTACAAAGGGCGTGCAAAGCAGAGCGGAGCGACGTGAATGTCTCTGTGGGCGGGATGATCATCGAGGCGCCGAGGTCCGCCTCTCACGTCGACGGTCTGCCGGCGGTAGTCCCTCCCTGTCTTCTCCCCCCACGTCATGTCCTGAGTGGCAGGGACTCCGTCCGGCCCCCGCTTGGTTGGAAATGTTGGTGTGAACTGCGTCGGCAAATCGTCCAAACACCCGCAGACAGTTCTTACAACATCTCCATTCTGGGCTCGTATCCCCCCGGGGCCGTCACACGAGCAGGGCACTGTCCTTTGAGTCCCGCAGGAGTGCTGTTGGCGCACCACGTCAGCCCGTGCAACCCCCGCAACCTGAGCCGCTGCGGCCGGCGGCTGGCCAGCACCCTGCAGGGGCTCGACCGGCTCGACGCGCTCGGCCACGGCGAGGAGGGCGAGGAGGCGGAGCAGGCGGAGGCGGCCGTCATCTGCCCGTAAGATCGCCAATCGTGGCAAGAGTGCCTGTTGAACTGACTTTGACTCTCACAGATCGAAAAGGGAAAGAGAGTGATGGGAATATAACAGGCCCAACAACCATGATCAAATGCCACTATGGGGGTCAATGGCAAGTATTACATGGCGTCAAAATGATGCTCAACACCCAATGATAGAGCAGAAAATCAGCTGTCGACGCGACCTCAAAATGTAGTCATTTACTGTGAGCGACTACATATTGAACTTTTCGTTATTAATAGAAGTCTTTTCAAGTCCATTTTAGGTGCACAATAGACAGCAGAAAGTCAGATCTAGCATGTTTCCAAACAAAACTACAGATTTGTATTTGTTTGAGAAAACTTTATAAATACTCAAACACCGGCTCTCTATGTGTTCATTTTTCAGTTGACATTTTATTGCTTTTCTCCGTGTCTAAGTATTTACAAAATACGATTACCACGCCGAAAGCGCACCATAACCCTACATCTAGCACCCCAAATCAGGAAACGTTCAAACACGCAAACTAAATACCTCTGGGCTAAAACTTGATGTGCCCCTGTAGCTTCAGGTTGAAAGTCTTGTAATATCCACTTACTTCGTAAATGCCACAGCATTTTATCAACAATATGAGTAAAGTTCACTCACGACGCGGTAGCTTGCATCGCTGCGGCTGGCGGTCTCTACTGGACTGGACTGGAGAGGGGGGAGGTGGGGGGCGGCGGTCGGTTGACGTTGCCATTTGGCTAGGAAATTTCGATGGCATAATGCTATTATTGTTTATTTATTTTCGAATTTTGGGGTTTGGTTTTTGAGACTTATCCGACAAAAAGTTAAAAACACAACCAAGCGCCCGTTCTGTGCTACAGAACGAGGGGGGGGGAGAGACTTTGCCCTGCGGTAGGGGACAGTCTTGGTGGTCTTGGGTACCGTCTAAAAATACCTTGCCCCACGAATTTTTATATCCAACTATCTCGACCCCTTGCGCTGCCCTCAGGTCACTCGTGGAGGCGCTCGACTGCTTCTACTGGTTCAGCCAGCGCTGCCTACCCGTGCGGGAGCAGCACTTTTACGCCAAGATGTACGTGGAGAGCACCGGCCTGGTGGAGGGCCTCTGCCGAGCCGACCCTGCCCACGCCCGTGAGCCCCGTAAGGACACGCTGTGCTCATGCAACACTGACTATAGTTACACGCTAAATGTTAGACACACCGCGAGGCCCCACAGTAAGCGTCATTATGATGCGTGGAGCCCCTGTCTCCGGCCCTTGCCCGACCCCTAGCTAGACCTGCCAACATCTTTTCATGGGGAGAGCGGAGGCCGGCGAAGCAGGCGCGGGTGTCTTCGGCAACTCTAGGTCGGGGGGTTCGGCCCTCGTAATGAGCGTAACCAGGCCGTTTGTGAGGGCGACAAAGAAGGGCCTGCGATTGTTTCGATTTCCTTTGCGTGCCGCTGTGTCTACATTTAGCGAATGAACTATGCCGAGGGATTAAGGGGGAAGTGACATAAGATCACCCCCCCCCCCTTTTCGTTCACAAATTACGTCACGCTTTTTGCAGCGGTTTTTGACACACACCCCTCCAAAAAAAAAATCACACGAGCATACCCCC